GGGTTTTTTTTATTGCGGGGGGGGGGGGGGGGGACAATTATGGATTTACTGAAATCAGACCAATACTATGCTAGAATGTATCATTCATGTTATACCTGCAAGGGTCTGCAACTATAACAATTATAAACTGAACTAATAACACTCCGTTTCCTAAATAGGGAATTCAAAGCAACTATTTTGTCACTGCTGAGAATTTGCTACCAGTTCTAAAACGACACTAAACTAAAGGAGTTAAATCTTAAAAATGCATTCAAGTACATTAACTGTTAAATGCATGTTATTTGAGTGTCACTCACTTGTAAGATCCTCAAATCCTCACTGAATTTGTGCTGACACTGCATTTTCTTCTGGGGGGTGGCTACTTTTGTTCCCCATGTATGTAGTAAAGTAGCCACCACTCCAAGCTCACTCCATGATGGACTACAATGCCAATACAAATTAGAACACTAAACATGAGGATTGTAGTCCATCACAGTAGCAAGTATGAAGTGGTGGCTACTTTACAAAACACACTGCGACCCTGGGGAACAAAAGTAGCCACCGCTCCAGAAGGAAGGACAGTGTCAGCACCAATTCAGAGATGATTTGAGGAACTACAGCTGAGTGATACACAAATAAGAGAAATTTTTTTAATAGTTAAAAAAGGTACTAAAATGCATTAAGATTTTTAACTCGAGTTTAGTGTCAATTTAAAGATGCCACGAGACATAGAAATGCAGTAGACTGTAAATGGTAAGGCCTCATGCACATGGGCACATGAGGCCGTGTAACGTAAATTGCATGCGTATTTCCACCCCGGAATCCACAGCTGCCGTGTACAGTCTTGCCCATACTAATCAATGGCTTAAGGTGGCTGTACGTGGGTTTACATCACTACTTGTGTAAAAACCACACATGTATAAGGCCTTACGCCCCTGGACAAAGAGTAGCTGTGCCCAGGGTTGTACGCACGTATGCATGCACAAGTTAACGCAAGTAGTTGCGTCAACCCACATATAGCCATTAATTATTTTGGGTGGACTGTACGCAGCAGTTGTGTATCCCAGCCACATAAACATGCCTATATTTATGTTATACAGCCTCATGTACCTGTATGCTAACACCAAAAACCCACTGTCAAAAATCTGTTACTGCAAATCTCAACCAAAGACACTCCATAGTTCTGGCTCAATCTGGGGAGGAAAAGAGCAGTATTGGTTAAAAGTAGGGATGCACCGATACTAGTATCGGTGCCGATACCGAGTATTTGGGTGAGTACTCGTACTCGCCCAAATGCTCCTATACCTAGCACGAGTACTTCCAGTATCAGGAAGCCGGGTAGCTAATCATTACACGCTGCCCGGTTTCCTGATTGGCCAGGAAACGGCTCCATGCTCTCTCGTCACTTGTGATGAGAGAGCATGGAGCCGACTTCCCGGCGAATCAGGAAGCCAGGTAGCGTGCAATGACGCGCTGCCCGGCTTCCCGATTGGTCAGGAAGCTAGCAAATCCGGAAGCCGGGCGCCGTGTAATGACGCAGCGCCCGGCATTCCGATTGGCTGGGAAGCCGGCGTCATGCTCCCTCGTCATCTCATGAATCATAATATTAAGAAAGTTACCTTAAAGCATTAGTTTGTATTGCTTTAGAAAAAATGTGACCTGTCCCTTTAAGAAAAAGTATCAGTAATTGGTATCTGCGAGTACTTGATCAAAAGTATCGGTACTCGGTCTTAAAAAAGTGGTATCGGTGCATCCCTAGTGAAAAGTATTAACCCATTATATATATTAGAGCTTCTTTTTAGCTGGGGTGTAACAGTATAGTGTATTTTCAGTGAGTGTATAGTTTGAATCAACATTGCAGAGATTACCATTTTTTTTTTTAAATTTCACATGCTTTTCTTATTGATATTTATTTTAAAATGTGATTTTAAGATTAGCCACTAGAGGTAGCTCTCACTGGGTTACTGCAATTAGTCTTACAGCCCAATTTCAGCCAAACCGTTTTATTTCTATTTTAGATAGAAAGGATAATAGTTAGAGCCTCTGCCTGCGTCCTTACTGTGAAAAATAATCCTCACTTCCTGTCAGGACAGGAAGTAATGGGAACCAATACGAAAACAAAAGCACAGTTTTAGTAGAGAGAGTTCAAACTTCTGACAATGCTCTTATTGCTGTCTGTGTATTCCTGTCTCGCAGACTACCATAACTCACATTTCTTGTATGCTTGTCATAGAGACAGGAAGCGAGGCAGAAATTCTCTGAAATAAATTTTAAAAAACTCATCCACACTATATCCAATACTAACAAAAAGGCCAAAGCTGGGCAACGTTTTCAGAAACTAAAAGAAGTTTTGTCTGTAGTTCCACCAAGATATCACCAAGGGCTAGTTCACACCATCCCTTGTGGCCGGAACACACTGGATCACATTAGGGCCGGATCACCACCCCGGAGCAACCTAGAGTATGTAGCTTCATATTCTGCATTGCTATATAATTTATTGCTGAGATTTGTAGTCCCTCTAAAGCTTGAAGTCACTGGCAGAACTACCAGGGTTGCATCGCTTGAAGCTGTGACCAGGCCCTGACACTCCACCACTGTCCTGAAATCATTAGTCTGTATTGTTTTAGAAAAACTGTCACGCGACACTGAAAAAAAAGGTATCGGTAATTGGCATCTGCGAGCAATTGAGGAAAAGTATTCGAGAAAAAAAAGGTATCAGTGCATCCCTAATTTATTGTATATTACGGGAAGATTTACCCTCAGGGATGTTCGCGGAATCATGCACAAACGCGCTTGTGGTGCCATTAATTTCTTTTGGCATCCCAAACGCAGCCCACAAATCACGTGGTTTTCCGCCGCATGTGCAAATGTGCAGACTAAAATGCGTGCCGCTCATCGTACAAATAGGCGCAAGAGCATGGATATGATCCCATTTAAATCAATGGGGCCACGCCGCAAAAGCGCCCCATCGTGCATTCCCAGGATGTGCTGCCTGGGAACGCTCAGATGTGAACCAGGCCTCAATTAGCACCAACACTGCACAGTGATGTGAGGCATGCCCAGGGATAACTTTCTCTTCCTCAAAAGTTTAGGGGCTTTTCTTGTATGGTGCACAGGTATTTCAAGATCCTAGGCCTCTCAACAGTTGCTACAATACTAGGCTTGCTGTAAAAGGGTGAATTAAAAAAAAAAAAATCACAGGTTATAAATGTAAATTTTCTTATACCACGTTTCCTACAATTTGTGTTCCAATACCTTAAATCGTACTCATCCACAAATTATTACGTAAACATAAATTCTAAACATGAACATATGTAAAAATTTGAACATACCATGCCTTCTTCCCCATGGAAACGCACGGCAATACCTTGCTTAAGTTTCTCACAGTTTGATTTAAACACCACTTCACAACTGCTCCTAAAAATAGAATCTAAATATGTAACAAAAATTAATTGCATTCTTGTTGAAACAAAAATGTCTGGATTAAACAGGTAGTTATGGGCTTCGTACCTCTATGCACTAGCAATATGTCATTCTCATTTACAGGTCTATGAACCATATCAGAATCTGGCTGCCCAGCGTGTAGGTGTTCGTAAAACCACTGGCACCGTTCCTTAAAAGGCTGCAATACAAAAAACAAAGATGTATTTCTCAAATTTATAAATCCCCGGTGTACTGCTCGTACATAATCTATGCAAATGATATTCTTCTGGGCAAGAGAAGATTGCATCCCAATTCTAAGACAATACAAAGAATATACAAAAATATATTCAAGCAGGAAAAAAACAAAAAAGACTGTGTTTTGCATGGTAAATGTGATCTAATTCAGGAATAGCTTATAGGAGAGCTGCCATATTATACTCTGACAATGCTGATTTTATTCTAAAACCAGCAAAAAACCTTCATAAAACTTAATTATTCTATATCCAAAATATAAAGCATGATTGTATACTGGGATCAACAAAAACTGGAGGTCTGTTTTATTAAACTAATCTTAACCATCATTAATAACATAATTTATATCTACCTTGACATTGAGACCCCTTGGTTGTATAATGTGGATCACGTATGCCCATATTGCTTTATTCTATGACATAGCCCAACTGCAGTTCTACTCTAACTACTGCCAGTAGGATCCAAAAAAAAAAAAAATCACAAATATTGAATTCCTCCCCTGTGACATAACATTTTTTTTGTAGTTTTTATCCTTTCTCGTCCTGTTCCTATAACAAATATTGCATGATGTCCTGGTCCTAATCAAATATTGCACGCTACACATTTAAACATAGAAAAAAATATTTCAAACCAAAACTACCATCTTAACTTTTTGTGGGCACAACAATTACACACTGCATAAACAATTCTTTAAAAAGAACTCCAGAAAAATGTATTAACCCTTGCAGTGGGGCTACCTCCACACTGCAATGGTTAACTGCTTGTTTTTTAGTTATACTCACCTGAACCGTGAAGCCGGATTGTTCTTAGACCGTTCCTTCCAGCCTCTCTCTCCCCCTCTGCTGCACTGGTCTGAGGTCCTGTAAATTATCACTTTCTATACACTGTGTATGGACCCAAGGAGCTTCGGGGGGAGTATAACTGTCAGTCTTGCAGTGCCACCCGGGACTCATAATTCCACAACAGCTTCAGTGCCAAAGGTTGCCTACACCCAAACTAGAGTGTTACATGATGTGTTACTTGATGACCCAGTATAGAATTTTAGAACAGCACTTAACCTTAAAGAAGAGAGCCAGGAAAAAAAATGTCATACATTTTTATAAAATCTTTATGTTTAAAATGTACAGTTTTTGAGCTAAGACAAAAATGAGCAGTTAATGCTTGCAGTGCGTGGGTAGCCCAACTTCAAGGGTTAATTAAAACATTTCCTGGCTCTCTTCTTTAAAGGAGAACTATGGGGTCAGTGTTTACCCTCCCGTTACCCTAAGCTCAGTATACCGCGAGCTACAGCTCGCGGTATACTGAGACGCCGCAGCCAGAGCGGATCCCGACATGGAGTGACAGCTGGCTCTGCCTATCTAGAGGCAGAGCCAGCTGTACCCGCCCCCTCCCCCGTCCGTTCTGACAGTCAGCGCTGGCAGATTGGAGCGGGGAGAGGGGAATCCAGCCCCTCCCCCTGTCACGGCAGAGAGCCGTGACAGGATCGAGAGGTGAGCGAACCCGGTATGTGTTCGCTCACCTCCCGATCTACTGAGCCGACCTGTGACAGTCTCATTGTCACAGGTCGGCTAGAACTATGAGGTGAGTGGAAATCACTCATCTCATAGTTGTCCTTTAAGGTTAAGGGCTGTTCTAAAATTCTAGACTAGGATAGGTCATCAAGTAACACATCATGTAACACTCTAGTTCAGGTGTAGGCAACCTTCGGCACTGCAGCTATTGTGGAATTACAAGTCAAAGGCATTGCAAGACTGACAGCCACAGGCATGACTTGCAAAGGCAGAGGCATGATGGAATTTGTAGCTCCACCACAGCTGGAGTGCCGAGCATTGCATACCCTTGCTCTAGCTTGTCTTCTCTCTGGCTGAAGTAGCTCATCTGCATTGACAAGTGCTAAATTTGTGAAGGTATGTTAAGGCATAAAAAAAAAAGTAACCAAAACATAAAACGTAGTTTGTTTGTTTTTTTTCGCTTTGAATAGTGTGTAAAAAGGCTTTAACCCTTTCAGGTTTTAACTAGAGGTGCACCGAAAAGGAATTTTCAAACCAAAACTAAAAAATTGTCAGGCTGAAAACAAAAAAATATTTTTCTAACCTTTTTAAAAAAAATTTTTATTATTATATTTTTTTTATGTTTATTATGTTATTTGTTTTTGGGGGCTTCGGTGAAATATAAAGGGTTTAGAGCCCTGTTTTTCCATTTTGAAATAGAAAAAGGGATTGAGGACACAGAGCCCTCAATCTCTTTTTCTGCAGCCCATTATGAATGAACAGGAAGGATCTATACTGAGCGTTCCTGTTCATTCATAAACTGTGGATATAGTATCAGTTACCTTGTCCACAATCCTGAATGAACAGGAAGTGATGTAGAGCACTTCCTGTTCATTCATAACTAGGGACACAGTAAGCCCTCAGTTATTTACAAACACTTAGCGATCAGCTTAGTGCTTGTAACCCGCCCTCCATCCTGACTCGCATGAGGCCAGCTGGGAGGTGTGGGAGGAGAGCTCAGCCTCTTTTGACAGCCGACTGCTCCCCTGAACCGCTCCACTCGGCATCCTGAGCGGTCTCCTCCCTGCTGGATGTTGGTCTGTAGCCCCTCGGATTCCCACAGCCTCTGTGGACACAGACGGGGCAGAGCAGCGGACACAGACCAGCGCCCAGCGGGGAGGGGAGAAGCCTAGAGATGCACTGAATTTTCGTCCGTTATGGTACTTTTGGCATTTTGCCTAAAGTAACATTTTCATCCGAAATGTTTAATCGGCCGAAATTTCGGTGAATCCCTAGTTTTAACCCTGTGCTACTCTATTAAAAAAAAGTTTTAGGCCTATTTTAAAAACAGAAGTCTGGACAACAATGTTCTTAACCCTTGCAGTGGGGCTGCCCCTGCACTGCAAGGATTAAGTGCTCGCTTTGTCTAGGTGCTAAAAAAAAAAAAAGTTACTCGGAGTTAGAAAATCATCGGAGGTGGCTTGCTCTTAAACCAATCCCTGGAGCACAGTGTATATGACGCGAGGACACCGAGGAACAGGCCATCGTTGCAGCAGAGGAGGAGAAAGGCTTCAGAAACCAGAGTAGCAGCCAGCCAGCCCATGGTTTGGGTGAGTGAGTATAACTTTTTTAGCACCTAGACAAAAACGAGGACCCCGCACTGCAAGGGTAAAGAACATTTTTGCCCAGAGTTCTGTTTTAACTGTACCTTATTGTAAGGAAGATAACATGCGAGTTAATGAATGTTTGAGCATGCAATACAGATGATCTATGGACTGCTCCAGACACTCATGTTAATAGGCTAAAATCTACGGCTGGTTAAAAGCACAGAGGGGAATTTATCAAAACTGGAGCAGACAAAATGTGGAGCAGTTGCCCAGAGTAAACAATCAGCTTCTCTCTTCAGTTTGTTCAGTTAAAATTTGAAAATGAAACAGAGAAGCCGATTGGTTGCCCTGGGCAACAGCTCCAGATCTTGTCTGCTCCAGTTTTGATAAATTCCCCTCATAATGTTTTATAACAAACGCTGCCCATGCTTTCTATCGGCATGTTTGTCCTTGTCCTGCCCTAATAGACAACTATTTTCAGTCAACTTAAACTTCTGTGTTGGTGGGATTTAGTGAATACAAAAGTAGGAAAGCACCAATACCGATACTAGTATCGCTGCCGAGGCCAAGTATTTGGGTGAGTACTCATACACGCCCAAATGCTCCGAAGCCTAGCCCGATACCTGAGCTTCCGGTATTGGGCTAGGCAGCGAGTCATTACAGGCTGGCCGGCGTCCCGATTGTCCGGGAAGTCGGCTCCATGCTTCCTTGTCACTTGGTGATGAGGGAGCATGGAGCTGGCTTCGCGGCCAATCAGGAAGCATGTAATCACTCGCTGCCTAGCTTCCTGATTGGTTGGGAAGCTGGCCAATTAGGAAGCCGGACAGAAAGTCATTACCCGCCCCCTGGCTTCCTGATTGGCCAGAAAACAGGCTTCATGCTCCATCATCTGGTGACAAAGGAGCATGGAGTCAGCTTCCCGGCCAATCAGGAAGCTGGGCAACGAGTCATTACACGCTTCGTCAAAACCTGGTGACAACGGAGCATGGAGGAGGTTTCCCTGGTAATCGGGAAGCCAGGTGGGGAGTCATTACACGCGCCTGCCTTCCTTAATGGGAATATCGGTATTGGAACTTGTACTCAATACCAAAAAAACGGTCTCGGTGCATCCCTATTACAAAGCATACAGCCAACTTTTAAAAGGCCAGTAAAGAAACAGATATGGGAAGCTGATTGCCCAACTGCTTTAAGAATAAGATCTTCCCTCTACGGACTCCAGTCTCTAATTCAACACCCCAGAAGCCTCACTCTTCCTTCCTCAAGTAAAAAAGGCAAAGGGAAAAGAAAAATCCTTTTATAACAGATATTATGCTGTAATCTGGCTACGCTGGGAACTCAAGGGCAAAGATTTGCAGATTGCACATTAACTTCTTTAATATATCCAGATAATTCTAGCAAAGTATGCAAATATAAGCTTTCACCATTCCCTTGCTTCCAGCACCCCTTGAGAACAGTACTAGAATCCTCAACATTTCAAAAGTTCAAATTCCTGATGACTGACTGTGGACACAGAACTCTGTATGTAGTTTTATACTAAGGAAAAAATAACCGAGATCATTTTAAATATCCATGCTTTTAGCTGAAGATTACAAGATCGTTCCATATCACTCTCTATCAATCGCAGATTTCTCCATCATATAATACCTATATACATTTCTATGTAACTTAACAAAATACATATTGTAAATATACTGTACAGTATACTATATATACACACACACAACATACAATGTACTGTACTGTATATTGTATAAATGCATGTAACATTCAAAAGACTAGGATTTTATCAACATTTATCAGTTTTCAAAATCAGAGACATTTCCAGTGACTCAGCTAAGCCAAGGAATGCCACTGAAAATCTGGTAAGGTGTGCAGCTATTATTTGTAATGCCTGTTACAAATGTACAGGAAGCCTCTATACTGAGCTGCTCCTGTCCATTCATAAACTGAGGGGATAGTATCAGTAACTATGTCTACAATCATGAATGAACAGGAAATTGATGTAGAGGACCGCCTATTCATTCATAATTGGGGATGCAGTACCTAAATACTATGTCCTCAGTTATTTACAAACATCGGTGTGATCAGAACTGATCACACCGATGTTTGAGCAGTACATGGAAGGATCAGCAAACATTTCACGTTTGCTAATCCTCCCCACTCCCAATCCTGTGTCTGGTATCTCTGGACATTGATAGTGGTCAACGAATTGCAGTAGCTCTGTGCGGCCACTAGATGGTGCTGTGCCCTCCGCTCAGCGGCTACTCTTGCTGCTCTAAACTGAATGGTGGTTCTGGGGATGCGTCTCAGGGGGTGAAGCAGCATGGAGAGCCCAGACAAGCGTGGGCGGAGTACACCTCCTCCCCTCCCCACTGGTCACCTGTGGCTGGAACGGCTCTGTGTCCCCTCCAATCCCCGCTGCTTCTCCCGTCACTGGCGGGGGAAAGCAGCAGGGATCGGAGGGGATATAGAATGAAGCTTGCAGCTGGCGCCCAGCGGAGAGGAGAGAAGCTGGGGATGCACCGGAATTTTGCCTGTTTTTTATTTTTACTAAAAATCGGTATTTTGCCCATAGTACCATTTTTGGCTGAAATTTCAGTGTATGCCTAAAGAAAACATCGAAAGACACCCATGTTAATTAAACCAACAAAACCATAAACAGCCTCCTTCCTTAGATCTTTTCTTGTATTTTACCAGTTTTGGAGAACTTTAGGCTAGGTATAGAAGATAAATGTTACCTTAAGAACTGCAAGCTACTGTGTATGGTGCAAGTAGGATAACAAGCAACACAACAGCCAATTGTCATGTTAATCATGAAAAAGCAATTATGTGCCATAATCAACTGCAAGAAACTGATTTTACACTAAGTACAAAAAGCCTGTTTTCTTAGCTGTTCATTAAGGGACACAAGATAAGGAGTAATTTGGAGGGACAGCGGAGCCAGGGAAGCAAGACGGGGTGTTGGGCAGGGGGGTGACACACATTACCGGCCTGTGGAAGTGATCTGGTGGCAGCTCAAAGCCGCCAGAATCGCTTCCAGTGCGAAGCCGACAGTGGCGGCTATATGTTTAAAGGGGCCCACTGCCAGCGAATGCAGCAGCAAAAGGGTTAAAAGATAGTTTTTGAAGAGGTAACTTGGTCGCTGATAGTTGTACAGGTGGGTCTTCATGAGAGGCACCTTGTACACAGGTTTTAACCAAGGAAGGAAAAGCAAGTGATATTTAGAACAAGACGGCATAAGCTGATCTGTTCTATGATGGTACTCAAGGATAAATGCTGTCTGATTGCAAAAAGGTTATGATTCATCCCATTTCCTAGGGTGAAAATCTCTTGCCATGTACCAGGCAATGTGCAGTGATGGCTCTTACGGAAGGCAGACATCCTAGCTAGCTTTTAGGAGTATGGCAATTACGAGATCAGAAAGGCCTCCAACTCTTAGGACCTGAGCTTCAATAGCCATACCGTCGAACCTAGAGACTTAAAAGGAGGGTGATAAACCAGTCATTGAAACAGAAGATTTGGTCGATGTGAAGGAGCCCATGGGGCATCTGCCAGAGTTCTGATGAGGTTGGTGTGCCACATCTGCCTAGGCCAGTTCAGTGCTATGTCTATCACTGGAATATCATCCACCTCAAAATTGTGAAGCAGCTGAGGAAGGGGTTTCAGAGGAGGAATGGCATTGGTCAGATTTTACTGATCCCACAAAGCCACCAGAGCATCTACTACTATGGTCAGAGGATCCCTGCACCTGGAAACAAACTTCTTTAGCTTGTTGTTGAATCTGGGAGGCCAGAAAGTCCATATCTGGAGTTCCCCACATGCAACAAATGTCCTGAAACCCCTCTACGTGAAGAGACCATTCTCAAGGGTCCAGATATTGGTGGATGAGGTAAACTCCTGGCTATCGTCCATGTCTGGAATGTGAAGGGCGGACAAGACTGAAACGTGAATTTGTGCTCAAGACAGATTTTTTTTCGAATTCTCTCTCAGCAAGACTTCCTTCCTGGAGGCTGATGTATGCCACTGCTGTGGCATTGCCTGACTGAATCCAGATCGGATGGCCTTGCAGTCAAAAAGTCCAGTGTTGAAGGGACAACCGAATCACTTAAACTCTAGTATGTTGATTGGAAGATTAGTTTTTTTTCACACAACCAAGTCCCCTGTACTGACAAGGCATCTAGGACTCCTCCCTAGCCTGCCAGGCTGGATTCATGAGAATCTTCCATGAATTTGGAAGTAAACAATTCACTGACTCCAGGGCTGGAATCTTGAGCCACCAAACAAAGGCTGCAACAACGAATCAATTTAATCGATGATAAACGCTAATGAGAATTCTTGTCAAATATTCTCCTTATTGATTAGTTGCATAACCCCCACCCCCCCCCCAAACACACACACCCCTGCCACTCTGCTCCTCCATTTTCCTCCTCGCTGGGAGCCGATGTAAGCTGCAGTCTGTGTCCCCTTCGATCAGAGGGGACACAGAGCACTGCAGTCGGCGCACAGCGGGGAGTAGAGACCGCTATGTCTCTGCATTCCCCTGCTGCCGTGCCACATTCCTCCTATCTGCTGCCATGCCCCGTTCCTCCTCTCTGCTGCCGGGGGTAAAAAGTCAGCATCAAGTCTCCCATCCAGGGGCTAGGAGCAATAGCCAGCCTGCTAATGGCCATTTTAAATTGCAATAGCAGGCTGGCTATTGCACCCGCCCACTTTCTCCTTCAGTTCCCTCCTCTGCTAAATGACAGCAGGCAGTGGGCGGGTGCAATTACCAGCCTCTTATGGACTATTGCAATTTAAAATAGCCTGGTTATTGCTCCCAGCCACTGCCTTACATTCAGCTACCTCAGCAGGTAGCTGTCATTCCCCAGTGAAGTGGAAAGGTGACAGAAGGTAGGGTGCACCTACGTACGAAAACGACGATTGTTATACACGTCAGGTATCGCCGTGTGCGCCAGAGTGAGTATAATAATTCTCGGGCCAATATTTATGGCTAACTCTAAACTGATGGTAATTGGGAACAACAAACAGGTTTAGGTAAATCCTTGAAAACGTTTCGCATCTGGAACAATGACTCCTTGGAAAAAAAAAAAAAGAGATCTGCTAGAGCAGCATGGAGGTGCGCTATCCTATGCAGAGATGGGGGCAAGTTGTACTCTGTGGGTTTGCTTTTTGCAATAAAGCAGATGAGGATAGCCTGGAAAACATGTATATGTTATAATATATAAATACATGGAGGTGTGCGGTTGCCATCTGTTTCACTTATTTGATTTGGTGTGGGGACACACTGGGGGGCTTTAGCTGCCATTGTAATGTGCTGGGCTTCTGGTGTGTCCATGTGTGTTTAAGGAGAAATGGGCTGCTATTTATGCTCCAAGATGGAGGCTCTCATAGATTAGCGTTAGGACCACACTACACAGAGGGGCCTTCACAAGGCAGTGTGGTTTCCACCTGTTTTGCAAAAAAGTTGTGCAACTAAAACCTCTGTTTTTAACTCTAAGGCCTCATTCACACCCAGACGGCATTTCAGTGTGGATTCCGCACTTTTTTATGCATTTGTGCAAGCATAAATATTGTCGTGCATTTTTATGAGCAGATTTGTCACATTCATGTACATGGGAAAAACGAGCGCAAACGCAAGCAAAAACGCACAATTGCAATGCCCTTTTTCAAGCATTTCTTTAAATCTAAGGGGAAAAAAATCCTGCTGATCTGGCCCAAAAAAAAAAAAGCTCATCTATATTTGCCAGCTACGGACTTTATTCTACGCATGACACCACACGCAGGGGCTATAGAAATTAATGAGATTTTTTGATTTAAGCGTTTCAGTGTGGCACAATACGTGCAATAAAAGACATGACGTGAACGGGGGCTAATAGTCAGACAGTGTAATTTGCATGTTTTGGGAAGGTTTTTTGCAGGCTAGCTGGCAAGTGTGCTGGGAATTATTGTGTTTGTACTGTGTAAAGCCCTTCCATGTGCACCTTACTTTAAAAGCCAGTTATAAATCGATGACTGTGGTTGCCATTTGTTTCATTTGTCTATATACTATGGGAGGAATTTATCAAAACTGGAGCCAACAGAATCTGCCCATGGCAACCAATCAGCATCTCTCTTCAGCTTGCTCAGGTAAGATTTGAAAATAAGAGAGAGAAGCGGATTGGCTGCAGTGCAAATCTGCTCCAGATTTTGTCTGCTCCAGTTTTGATAAATTACCCTGTATATATAATAAGTAATTAACACTTTCAGTCTCTCACTAAACCTGTGACATATGTTTTGGGTGGTATGAACCTTACAGCATTTCTCCTGTACCCATGGCAAATGAAATGAATATGGTCACCAGAACAGGGAGGGGAAAATGTCCTCAAAGATTATAATCCTTCTGCATTTATATGAAAGGGAAAAAAAAAACATTTTGGGTGGGTTAGACAGGTTCACAAACTGTATTTCATTAGATTTGTTTGGAGTATTACAAATATTTGGTAAATCCAATACTAAATGAATGCATTTACACAAGTATAGTGAGTAGAACTTAAATAAAGTCACCTGGGCTTTTATTATGTGCATAAATCTTGACATCAGCTCTGGACACTCCAGAAGAAAATGGAAGTGGTCAAATATGATTATGGGATTCCTGAAAATATAAAAGAAAATATTTTATAGACCTGCGAATCATTGCATTTTGAATTTCTGGTACTTTAATTGTTACAAGTTGTTAATTTTCATTTGTTTGTAATAGAACAAACAATAGACTGCCATGTTCATGTAAATAGGACTACAAGAGAAAATATAGAATGAAGAACAGACACAGCTTAGCTTGTTTTCAGAGCAGAGCATCAGCTTATATACTCATGCTTTTTTGAGCCAGCAAATCAGTAAGTAGTCAAACAAGTAAGGCCATTTTCACACATGGTGCTGAAGGAGTATAGGAACTTCTAAGTGTCTGAAATATCTCAGTTATCCAGGTTATGGTATAGCTAATAGTAGTTAGTAACATTTAGCTGGGCCTTTACAACTCTAATGAGTGTCATAGACATACCCTATCATTTACAGCCACATGGGTAACTTAGTCAGCTTAATCCAATCACCATCAAAGTCAAGGCAGTGTTGGTTGTCTAGTAACAAGATGGGAGGTGTGAAAATGTGTGAAACACCCTATTCTTGTTAGAATATCTCATCACCATTGTACCATTAAGTCTGAGACCGGTGTTAATTGTTTAAATTACATGGCAATAAGTCTTATTTGTTGTCAATTTGCCAAGGTAAAGTCTTGACTTGCACAGTCCACCCTCCTATGATGGCCCAACAGTTTGTTTTGGACGACAAAACAACCGCTGAAATAAAAAAATAAAAAAACAGATGGCCCCAACATAAGTAGTGATGGGCCCGAGCGTGTTCGCAGCTCCACGTGCCGAGCCCGCCAACGCCAATCACAGGTACTGAGACATTTCCCGATCTCTGCAGCTGCGGACCGGGATAATGTATCAGTACCTGTGATTGGCGCTGCGGCACTGTCAGCTTCCTGGGGGGCTCGGCACGTGGTGCTGCGAACACGCCCAATCCCATCACTAAACATAAGAGGGTAAATTGCAAGTCGGTCTTCCAACATCTTAAAGTGTAATTTCACTTCTGCAGCCAAATTGGTATAACATCTAGTTTATATTTGTTATTTGTGTCCATTTACATTTAATAAGTTCTAAACTTAAAAATTTGAAATGCTTTTTACTTGTTTAAAATCCTACCTAGCTTTACCCCTTTGTGATGTTAAGGAGGGGGCTGTGTGAAGTTATGTTTACTATAATTAAACCTGTCTGTACTGTGTTGGCAGATTTCATTATCAGTTGTAAACTATATTTAAATACACTGTCAGTCCTTACAAAGGGTTAAAGTCTTCCAGGCATTGTTTGTTAATGAGAGGAAGCTCAGTTTGACCCTCAGTCTGACACTATAGCTTCACTCTTAAGCTACTCAGAGTAGTTTGGAATTTGCACAAGGGCCTTCACCAGGAGAGACATCTATAAGCTAATACATTTATTTGTAAAAATTATATCTTTAGATATGCTATGTGAATAGGAAAACAGAACAAACATGTGCAGTATCTCACAGAAGTGAGTACACCCCCTCACATTTTTTAAAATATTTTATTATATAATTTATATATCATGTGACGACACAGAAGAAATGACACTTTGCTACAATGCAAAGTAGTGAGTGTACAGCTTGTATATCAGTGTACATTTGCTGTCCCCTCAAAATAACTCAACACATAGCCATTTATGTCTAAACCGCTGGCAACAAAAGTGAGTACACCTCTAAGTGAAAATGTCCAAATTGGGCCCAATTAGCCATTTTCCCTCCCCGGTGTCAAGTGACTCGTTAGTGTTACAAGGTCTCAGGTGTGAATGGGGAGCAGGTCTGTTAAATGTGGTGTTATCGCTCTCACTCTTTCATACTGGTCACTGGAAGTTCAACATGGCACCTCATAGCAAAGAACTCTATGAGGATCAGAAAAAAAGATTTGTTGCTCTACATAAAGATGGCCTAGGCTATAAGATGATTGCCAAGACCCTAAAAGTAATCTGCAGCACGGTGGCCAAGACCATACAGCGGTTTAACAGGACAGGTTCAACTCAGAACAGGCCTCGCCATGGTCGACCAAAGAAGTTGAGTGCACGTGCTCAGCATCATATCCAGAGGTTGTCTTTGGGAAATAGACGTATGAGTGCTGCCAGCATTGCTGCCGAGGTTGAAGGGGTAGGGGGGGGGGTCAGCCTGTCAGTGCTCAGACCATACGCCGCACACTGCATCAAATTGGTCTGCATGGCTGTCGTTCCAGAAGGAAGCCTCTTCTAAAGATGATGCACAAGAAAGCCCGCAAACAGTTTGCTGAAGACAAGCAGACTAAGGACATGGATTACTGGAACCATGTCCTGTGGTCTGATGAGACCAAGATAAACTTATTTGGTTCAGATGGTGTCAAGCGTGTGTGGCGGCAAGTGTGTCTTGCCTACAGTCAAACATTTTGGAGAGGACAACTTGTTCTAAAGAGGTGTAAAAGAGACCATCTATGTCAAATTAAAAACAACCATGCCTAAACAGGGGTGCTGGCATTCAATACCATCCATCACCCCACTCCTCTAACCTTGCAATTTGACTACACATATAACTGCAATATAAACTACATCAAGATTTGTATATAAAGGAAGCTCCAAGCATACACTGAAGGTGATCAGTGTTTGCATTTCAGCATATAGCAGGGCAATCGACAATTCCAGGCATCAGGCTATTTATAGGCGTAGAGCAAATGCTTATAAAAAAAAAAACCTTTGATGATTATCACCATTATAATCAGTTATAACCATTACAATCAGTAAAGAAAGTGTAAAGGGCAAATAAATGCCAATCGAAAATTGTTTTTGTTTATATCTTATCCTTCCTTAATTTTTGCCATACGTACGCTCATGTTGCTGAGAATTATAATGTGCTTTGAAGAGCAACTCCAATCAAACAGCTAAACAAACTGTTTCACTTGTCAAAAGATCTAGAAATTAAGTACAGCCATAGATGACTTGATAAAAGCAAGCGTTGCGCTCATTTTCAAGCATTACTGCAATTATAAATTAATAACAAGTGCCTTAGGTTGTGGTTGTAACGGGGAACACTTATTCCTGTGAAAACTGTCTAAGAGGAACATTGGGAAGATATCTTATTGCTTTCTGTTGAGTGTACAAGACAGGAAGTGAAGAACCAGGACTGTTTTCCCCAGCTCATTTCCGGCCACATAAAAATCCAGCAAGGTTTATATGCATTAAGATTTTTTTTACTTACTGTTGAATCTTTTTCTGGGAGTTATTGAGAAATGCACAATTAGGGACAATTGGATTATACAGTCACCTACAGAAGGATTTAGGCACTGGCAAAAAAAGAAACATTGACCAGCCTACTATAACAAGGATGTTGAGTAGTATGGGTCTGGAGTGGAAATGGTTAAATGGAATTGCCTGGAAGCAAGCTGCCATCAGCCCGAGGACTCACATGCAAAAGCAAAGTGTCAGTTGACTCTTGCAACTCTGGGAGCCGAGAGTTTTACGTTTCTTTTGTGGAAGAAAAAAAAAAAAACTCAGGCTTGAGCTGTGTCTAGGATCTTCCAAGCAATGAGTTGATTTTAATGCAGACTTCCGAAGGCTCAGAATTGAACCAAACCTTTTTAAAGGTGTGAATCGTCCATGTCCCGTTGTCAGCAAGGACTTGTGCTGACCGTTTACTCAACAGGAGGTAGTCCAGATATCCTACAGTGAGGACACCTTGGGAAAACAAGGCAAACACAGGTGATAGAACCTTGGTGAACACAGGGGATGCAGAAGACAGGCCGAATGGCATAGCTATGAACTGCAAGCGACCTACAATAAAGTAAAGGAATTGGTGACGTTTTGGAAAAATATGTAAATGTAAGTACGTGTCCTTGATGTATACAGGTGCCAGAAAATCTCTCTGATGGATGATTTGTGAAATTTTTGGGGTGGATTAAACACATGAGCCAAATGCCCTCTTATGGTTTTGACAGAGTGAAAAAGGTTTGAATAAAAATCACTGAATCCTTTCCACCACATGAACTAGGGCAAAAGCTTCTTTCGCTATATTACCCACAATGGCTGCATGGAACTCTACTAATCTGTGCAATTACACAGGAAGGCATGAACCGGGGAGGGGGCAGAGAAGGGAACTTGTTTGTAGCTCCTAGAAACCACCTCCCAGGCATCTGAGATGTTGTCTATCCAGGTGTGCACAAAGGCTAACAGATGTTCCCCACTAAGGAAATTGGGGGTATCCCTTCATGCGGAAGAAGACGACTCGTCTGCATGTTTGGGGGGTTTAGGGGTGCAAGGTTTGTGATCAAACTGGACTCTTGGCTTGGGTTTGGCCTTAGAGCCTTTGAAACCTGTAAGTAACGAAAGGAACTCTTCTTGGCCTATGGGGAAGGGGGTCGTGCTGAGTTTTTCCAGCTTGAGGCCTAGGCTTCTGCTTGGGGGAGTAGTATTGCACTGCAAAATGTTTGGAAAGGGTAAACAGTTTAATCAGGCATTTTCCAGTCTGTGTACAAGGTTTTAGGTCTTGCGTCCTCTCAGGGATCCTAGACTGGTAGCAGCACAAGTTGAAGCCATAGACTGCTTCTCTATCTTTAAGTTGGGATGCTTGGCATCAGTAAGAACTGAAATGGTCTCTCCAAACCACCAAGTTAAAGAAAAAAGAAGAATTTTTTTATTAACCCTTGCAGTGGGGCTACCCTAATGATTCTGCAGAGGAAGGTGTTGAGGTACGCTTTTGGCCGCTGTGGTCAAAATTGCAATATGGCCCATAAAATCCTGCATAACTGCAATTAAATCACCCTAGGTTAAAATCAAGGAGGGATCCACATCCAATGGAACTAAGGAAGACTCATAAGACTCTTGAGACTCAAGCAGGGGACAGAGTTCCAGTCTGTGGTGTCCAGTCCTTGGGAGAGAACACTGCAGGCTGCCCTGGAACTGTTACTGGATCGCGAGCCAGAGGTACTCGAGACAGGTCACTATAGGTGGCACAAGGAATAACTAAGGTGAAACCTCGTACCTCTTGCAATAAGCAGCAATGGCAGAAAGATGTTACTTCATGATTAATGGTAGGAACAAGACCCCCTACCTAATGACACAGCACCCAGTCCCCTTGTACATAAAAAAAAAAATGGAAAAATAGGAGTAATATTGACACCCAACGGTTCTAACAAACTACAGGTGAAACTCAAATAATTAGAATATCGTGCAAAAGTTCATTTATTTCACCAATTTAACTTTAAAGGTGAAACTAATATATGAGATAGACTCATTACATGCAAAGCAAGATAGTTCAAGCCGTGATTTGTCATAATTGTGATGATTATGGCTTACAGCTCATGAAAACCCCAAGAACCCCAAATCCACAATCTCAGAAAATTAGAATATTACATACAATCAACAAAACAAGGATTGTACATAGAACAATAACGGACCTCGGAAAAGTATAAGCATGCATATGTACTCAGTACTTGGTTTGGGCCCCTTTTGCAGCAATTACTGCCTCAATGCGGGGTGGCATGGAATCTATCAGCCTGTGGCACTGCTGTGTTATGGAAGAGCAGGATGCTTCAATAGAGGCCTTCAGCTCTTCTGCATTGTTCGGTCTCGTGTCTCATCTTTCTCTTGGCAATGCCGCATAGATTCTCTATGGGGTTCAGGTCAGGCGAGTTTGCTGGCCAATCAAGCACGAATTCTAATTATTCGAGTTTCACCTGTAAGTAGGTACTGGTGCTCAGCCCACATGGCCCCAGAGGCTGCACCATAGCGCTGGACCTGGAAAGCAACTAACACAGTATAAAAAGGTCTGTAATGGGCCACAGTGTGGAACCGTGCCCGAAGGTCACATTTCAGGCAGATGCCGCAAAGATCCAAATCCTGTGGGGTTTGAGTATGGCTTCAAAAGCTATTGCTAAAGATATGTTGATCTGGATAGCGGTATAAAGAGACCAGCTTAAGCAGCTTGTAGATGAATGAATAACTAAATGTGCCGAGCTAAAACAATGATCAGATATAAGGAGTAAAAAAAATAAAAAAACAGTGACTCAAACAAATGTCAGTGAAAAAAATCAATCAGGTGTAAAGTCTTTAAATCTTCATAAAAGCTTGTAGATGAAGTCTTCACTGCAATAATCTTAAAAAAAAAAAGCAAAAATGGCTAGTGAAGAGTTAAACTTCCCTCAAAGAAAAAAAAACAACAGTAATCCTCCTAGGACACTAGCAAAAAATAGAGCCATGCTGGGAGTGAAAAAAGTTATAAACAGGCTGGTCACTGGTTTTTGTTTGCCAGTGTCCAAATCCTCCTGTAGCTGGCAGTATAACCCAATTGTCTCCAAATCCTGTGTCCCTTAATGAACGAGAAAGATACATAGAGTATATGTCTGCAAGAACATCACTGGCAAACCCTGCTATATAAATAAGGCATATATTTCTGTTATCTAGTCAAACAATTTATTTTCTTTTAAAACCACATACATATACCACATCAACTGTTTATCACCGAATAAACACCACAAATTATGAAGGACACAGCTGTAGTGAGGTTATTTTTAATGGTCCTGGCATTTATATACACAAGAGCTATTTTACTGCAAAGAACATTATCATCTTAAACTTGTGCTGAACGCTTTCCAAAAAAGCAAGTTGCTGGAATGCAATATTAGGTGGCTTCAATACTTTCTTAGTCATGACCTGGAATGTGTGCAGATCAAGAGTTGTGACTTTACTTGCTTCGTGCTTGTTCTGGGTCAGGTACTCAGAACGTGAAGTGATTCGATGATCGTGACAGCCAGGCAGCATTTTTTAGGAGGTGAACAGTGTAATTCTATTGCAGCCCATGTAATTCTCCTTTGCTATTCATAGGCACAAGACAGGGCTTGCCAGACTGAAACATCTTTCCATAAAAAGCAATGATGGTAGCCATCAGAAAGTTTGTTAGTTTATTTAAAATACAAATCAAATGGTACCAACTAATATCGTAATGATGCTTTCAGGAACACGAAATGTGCGTTATCTTGATGGAAAAATAGTTATGCCAAAAGACTGATTTTTCTGGCCACGTTCATATATGGAATATCTTACCTACAAATTATTATTTTCTGCTAAAGAATAAACATTAAACTTGAAACCACAAATTTCTCCATATATTGTCCACTATCTTATGTCTATATATATATATAGCCTACACAAGTTTTCTATTAAGCAAGAAATACATACGCTTTGCTATGTAGACGTTTTGGTTTTTAAAGGATTTACTACAAATGTTACATGTGAATAATGGTTTAACTTACCGTGTAACAAAACATTTCAAAACTTCATCATGATTGCACACAAATTCAATGAAACGCGGGGAAGTCATTCTGAAAATTGAATTTCAAAAGGAGAACTAGTTATAAAAAGTTTGTTAGATTTTAAATCCACCTGGTCTATTATTTAGTACATATCTACAAAAAGGCTTAACAGATTCAAAAACTACATTAATAGGCATACTCAACAACACGGTATGAAGACCAGAATCAATAAGCAAGTGCAGCAATCCAAAGCAAACCAATCAGATTTCAGTGTAATGCAGAAAGGTCAGTAAAAGGCGATTTCACACTGCAAAATGTGGAATGGTCATGCTGGCAAGATGTTTGCTAAATCATCCCCTAACATTCCCTCCTTACCTGTACCCCCTTGCACAGATCAGGAGTTATGAAACTGCAGCCTATGCTGTCCAAGGGACATTATGGTCACCTTCAGAGCTGGTTGTCCATGTTGGACTGAACATATGTGACCTATTCTCCATGGGAAATAACGAAAAGACAGGTCAAGGCTTGCAAGTAGACATAAGTCCTATGGAGAAAAGTGGCACATGTGCAATACCCTGTGGCTCTACCAGCTCAGAAAGGGAGCCAGAATAGTCATAGTGAGGAGGGGCTGTTAGGCTTAGCACAGTCCTTTTAAGTGATTAAGGTAAAATAGAGACCACCGAAAAGTAGTTATTTAAAGTAGGGATGCACCGATTTTGGTACCGAGTACCGATATTTTTTTTCAGTACTCGCCGATACCAATTACCGAGTAACGGAAGTCCCATTCAGGAAGCCGGGTGGCGTGTAATGACTCGCCCCTTTAACAAGAAAGTCCCCACTTACCTTAGTATGTGCAGCCTGTCAACCCCGAGGCCTCTCCAGCGAGAACACGGCCTTCCTCCGGTACCCAGCCAGAGCAGTCTGGCTGGCCAATCAGGAAGCCGGGCGCCGTGTAATGACGCGACGCCCTGCTTTCTGATTGGCCGGGAAGCTGGCTTCATGCTCCCTCGTCATCTTATTTGCATCAAACTGATTTTTATATGCATCTCTGGAAATTAGGGATGCACCGATATATCAGCCACCGAAACATATCGGCCGAAAATGGCACTTTTGGCTAAATGCCAAAAGTGCCATTTTCCTGCTGATACATCGGCACATCCGTGATTTCTTTCCTCCCCTCTGGGGGCTGCTCTTTGTCCCAGTGGATAGGAGAGAAAGTGACAGCCGGCCGAGCGCTGCGGGACAAGAGCGCTGTGAGCGGCCGGTGTCTCTCCTCCCACACCGCTCGGCCGCCTATGACAGTGCAGCAGAGCAGTGTGGGGGCGGAGACAGCGCTGTCACAGGAGGCTCTCCTCTCGCACTGCTGTGGCAGTGTGCGTCAGAGAGGAGAGCAGGCTACAAACACTCAGCGATCGCAGAGTGTTTGTAGATAATTGAGGATATGGTATGTTTAATATATCCTCAATTATGAATGAATGGGAGTGATCTATAGCCACTCCTGTTCATTCATAATTGTGGTTATAGTAAACATACTATATTCTCAAGTTAATCAATGAACAGGAACACTCATAGGAGGATTCCTGTTCATTGATAACAGGGGATACAGAAAAAGAGATTGAGGACTCTGTGTTCTCAATCTATTTCTATTTTAAAAGGGAAATATCGAGGGTCTGTTTAGACCCCTAATATTTCCCCAAAGCCCCTAAAAAGTAAAGTAAAAATAAAAATATTTCATAAAAGATGAAATAAATAAAAATGTAAAAGTTTATAAAATAAAAATTAAATATATTTTAAAAATAAAAACATTTTCGGTATCGGTTTCGACCTGACAATTTTGTCTATTTCGGTTTCTTTCAGTTTTTAAATTTCTATTTCGGTGCACCTCTACTAGAAATAGAACAATTGAAAAGGCCACAAGTTTCCCTTTAATGGCTAAATGCTACAGTAATCATTTTACAAATAGAACAAAGGGCATGCAAATCAAGCAGACGGTTAAAAAAAAAACAGAATAGAAATGAAATTTTTTTATCATCCAAGCAAACTTTATACTCTATGCAGATGAATGAAAAATACTTACCCGGGAGGCATCTGGCAAGAACAGCACATATAGAAGGCTTGAATGACAGCACTGAGCCTATTTGCTGTCATTGAGATAACGTCCTGACCATCTGCAACAACTTCCTGTTTCACGGCAGCTTCACAGCTCACAAAGTGTCCTGTGCTTGGTGATACTGAAAGATGTTCTGGGCTCCCGTCTGCTCCAAAGTCCGACTGATGAGCTAGAGGAATATCGTGTTGATTCACTGGCTTTTGTTTCAGCAAAAAGCTGGCAATATTGGTGGATGTGGATGTTTTCTTGTTTTTAGTCAGTTCAGCAGATATAAGCACTAACCATTCATCTAAAGAATGCCAAAGTAATTCTAAGGGCTGCAAAGATAAAAAAAATAACAGTTTACAGCAAACTGCTGAACATGATAATATTTGAGGAAACATGAGGCATTTATGAACGGGATTTACTAAATAGCAACAGAAAATAGATAAACATATTGGTTACAGTGATAAAATGTTGATATAAACTCTAACTGAATGCTATTTAGCTTCCTAAAGTACTGTGAATCATAAACTGCCATTCCAATTATTTTTATAAAATACTTTTGTTCTTTATTCCCCATACTTATTTACATTTTTAGTTATAGAAAAAGAAAGTGGATTGGTATATGGAATACCACACCCTATCTATACATGATATCTATATAAATAATTACATATTATGCATTAAAAGGGCAAAAGATAGGATTTTGTTGTTACCATAAAATCCTTTTCTCGGAGTCCATTGAAGGACACAGCTCTGAAGAATTCTGAGTAGGTTATGCTGCTGCCTCCAGGAGAAATGGACACTAGGCAAAAAAAGAATGAAAATCCTGCCACTTTAAGGACATAAACCCTCCCACCTCACACCTACTTGTAGCAAGCAGTATGAATGAAAATGAGGGGAGGAAGCTGTGTCCCTCAGTGGAATCCCATTTTCTCTATCATCCATTGAGGCACAAAGCTCTGACGTTCAAAAGCAGTCCAAAGATTCATAGATCATTGGAAAGAAAACGCTGCCTTCCTAATTGAGGCTGTGTGTTCCTCTTTAAAATTAGAGGATTCTGCTGTTATTTCTACTTCTGTGATTTCTAGTCTAGGTTCACATAAACCTGAGTGAGTCTTCCAGTTGTCTACTCCTTTAATGTGCACTGCTGAAACTGTTGGAACCTGAAGTTCCGCCCAATCCAAAGTTTGGCAAAAAAAGACATTCTGGCATTAACGAATCAATGGTACAAAAAAAAGTTTCTCCAATTTTTTGTCAGTTTTCATTGCTGCTGATCAACTGCTATAAAGTCACTTCCTGTCAACATGCATGAACTCCAGCGATGGCAGCATTGAATTTCTCAGGGTGGGATTCCTGATGGTGACAACAGTATACTATGCATGTGTAATGTGTGTTGAGATGGCCACTAGGAGTCTCCATTAGAGAGACATGCGATAGGATGACAAGGCAGAAGCACAATTAAGAGATGAGAAAGAAAGTGTTGTCAACCTATGACAGGAAGTGCCTGAACAAGGACTTTCACTGCAGGATTACATAGCATCATTTTCAACCTGAATATGACCAGTTTTAGTATATTTGTACCTGTTACTATTTCATTAACTTTGCAATTAATGCACTTTTTCTTTACTTGATTTAGTGTATAAAATCATTACATGGTTCCCTATCTTGATAAGTCTTAAGATGTTAAATTTTAAAAAATGATGATCATATACCCCTGCTACCCAGGCTGTCAAACTAGATATGTGGGCTAGTAACCTCTGCTATGTTGATAGCTGAAAGATTTCCCTAGTACCATATAAATTAGGTGGAGGAAGCCTAGTTGAGCATTTTGTAAAGAGAATTTAAAAAACAAACAAAAAACAAAAAAAACGGTGGACTTCAGGAAAGAATTGAGGAGAATAGGGTAAAAGGGATGGTGGCCTACCCCACTTTAAGAGGGGATCAAACGTATGAGAGCAGTTTACAACCTCAGGGAATCTCTGTTGAAGGTTTGTGGAAAAAAGTCGTTATCCATGAGGACCAAATGTATTCAGCGATTCATTATGTTGTGCATGAAGTTTAAAAAAACAAAAACAATGAATGAAACAAAGGTGAAAAATTGGAGATAGACCATAGGGGTATTACAGGAACACACCATAACCTTTTGGTAGTTGTAGAGATATGTAGTGTTTAACATTTATATCAAAGTTGACATTTTTAAAGCTTATGTTTAGGCAAAATCTTTCTTTTTGAGTTTTGGATAGAGTGGAGAAGAGTTAGACCCTCTGTCAGTTTTTTTTTGTATTCCTACTCCTCTATTTGACCTGGTGAGGGAAATCCAAAGAGTTGTCCCCAGAACAAAGCTAAGGGGAAATCTTCCAATGGGGACACCTAATCCAGAGACAACTGTCTAAGAGGGAAGTTCCCCTAACTTTTGGAGATGTGTTCTAACTTCCTGTTGTGTCTTTGGGACAGGATGTGAAGGGAAATTTCAAAAAAATGCAAGGGGGTTTTAAATCTTACCTTTTCTATGCAAAACTACAAAATAAGAGCTTTGGTTATACATAAGACTTTAATAACTTTATAAACTCTAAACCGTCATTTGATATGTAATCCCCTCTCCAAATGTAATGTAAACTATGTGCCAGGTATCTAAGCTGTAGGGGGAATTCTTGCTGCTGGCCCTCCAGCCATGGTGCTAACAGCCCACATTCCTAGTATGCTGGGCTGGTAGTCCTGAGGAATAAGACACAGGCACTGTAATACCCTGCATTAGAAACATGTATAAAGCTAATGCAGGGGATGATGTCTACATTTTGCTTTTTCACCCCTTGGAAAAATGTTTTGTGAATAGGGTGCTCAAAGCATACATAACATTTTCACATAAAATTGTTTCTT